CCATGCTGAGGGGAGTGCATGCCCTCAGGCAGTGACAACTGTCCGAACCAGCAAATTCAAATGAAATGCTAGAACCACTCACCCTCAGGTCACACTGGGCTGTCAGTGACATCATTCCCTACGGTCATAGCCCAAGCTATAAGCCTCACAGGAAAACCTCCATAAACATGGTTAAATGAAAGGCCTACCTGGGCCTGCTCAAAGGCCTAGGACCACAACTTCAATTAGAAGGGGTCCCTTCTAGGGAATGTGGCTAGGGAACCCGAAGGAACCCCAGCCAATCACTATTCAGGGGAACGTACTCACCCCGAAATGCCACCAGGACGGCCTGACCCGGCATCAGATACATAGACACTTAGTCTGGCCACTTCCTGTCTGTCCGAAGACAGAGCCTCTGGAATATGCCTTTAGATAAGGCATCCAACCCGAGGGACTGCAAAGCTGGCAGTGAACCGCTCGGCCCGGATCTCAGAGACGGGATATCCTGGAGAGTATGACTCAGCATAGGCGTTCCCCATAGCGTTTCCCATAGCGTCGATGATGTATTGTCTCGCTCCCTGTTCTCAGGAAACAGAGGTTACAGTCGTAACCTGAGACGATTTCTCCTCTGCTCTCTCCCTCAGGTCTCTGCTGCAGCGTCACTGAGGTGCTGCGTCTAGCGTCACTAGTCCCTTAAAGGGGCAGTGACATGCATTTTCTGTCAGCATACTTTTAATCTTAAACATTAAATTGTTGTATTAACATTTTTAATTAACTCTGATGAATTAACTTACATTAAATAAATCACTTAACTTTCAAACTTATTTATGCAGCTTTTTAAACTATTTATTCCTATTTATGTCATATTTTAACATGGGTTACACATGGGCTCAACCAGAAATAATATGTTGAGCCAATGGAAAAATGTAGTTTACCAAACCGTGTTGTTGGTCCAATTAAATATTTTAAATTGTAGTAGCAATTTGCTTTATTGTTTATTTCGGATTATGTAAATATGCAGCTTTTCAGGACTGCTTAAAGTTACTGACATGAACAATAAAAAGATGAATGGATGAATAAGAAAATCATGAGCTTGATTGATATTAAAAGTCAATAAGAGGCCCCAAAGAGGCTGAGGTCAACTTTAATCTAACCCATACGGTAAAAATATATATTTTCAAATATATTCACGGTTAGTGATGAAGCAGACTGGTGAGTAAAATATAACAGATGTTTATTTTGAACAGAATCACGGAAGCCAGCAGATGTAAATGGTAAGTTGAATACAATGATGATCAGATGAAAGGAACTTAGCTGATGAATAACTGTAATGTCCTTCACAGGTGGTGATAGGAACAAGCTGGATAGTAAACACTGATGACTGTCTTTGGGGACGGTCGAAGGTCTGTGGAATGGGAGCGGATGATGATGAGGATAGCAGGTAAGTGGAAAAGGTGAGGATAGCAGGTAAGTGGAAAAGGTAAGGATTGAGGTAGAGTCTGTGTGTCCATGGAAAGACGAGATCAGACAAGGATGTGATGTGCAAGTGAATGTTATATAGTGAACAGGTGACGAGGTACAGGTGTGGTGAATAAGTAATCAGGGGAGAGTGAACGAGTGGGCGGAGTCTGTAGATATGGTGGAGCCGTGACACATATATTTCAAAATATACAAAAAATATATTTGCTAAAATATATTTACATAAATATATTTTCTACCAATATATTTTTTGTCCATTTTTGTGTCCAGCGGTTTCATGGCGCAAACATCACACATAACATCTCAGAAGTCAATCAAACAGTATTTACATATATGACATGAGGAAAATAAAACTATTGGCTACCATCAGATAATAATGTGGAAACCGCGAAAACATTATCATGAAACCAATGAATGCATGAACTTGCGATTCTACAAAATGCCTTTTAAACTTTATACCGGGTCTTAAAGCAAAACTTTGGATAATAATTTCAGTGCTCAGTACTCACCATAACGTTTTGAAACTTGTGACAATGAATATTTGTATTCTCTTGGGAATGTTTGTTTCGGTCTTCGACTTGATAGATTTACTGAGCACAATTAAATCTTTTCAGTAAATATACACTTTTAAGTGAAGGCCTTGAAGTACAATGCATCTTTTTGCATTAGGATAATTATTTGGAAGTCATTTATTGAGCCAATATGTAATTGTCAGTTTCCAAAACGCTTCACATTTTTTTTTACAGTGTTATTATAGTCTTTAAAGGAGCACTTCACCCATTTCAACATTAATCTTTATTGAAAGTGGGTCATATATGTAGTCGAAATGTAAAAGAAATTTTGAATTTGGTGCCCTCTTGACCGAGAAAAGACAGAAAATAACTTTAGGGCACATTTGTGTGTAAGACCACAACTCCCAGAATGCACCACGTTGCACAGCTCCGCAAGCCACTCCCACTAATCCAGAACAGCGCAAAGTCGCAAACATCAGAGAAATCACTCTTCCGTCTACTCTACAGGGCTAACGTTAGCTGCCAACAGAGTTAGAAATTCATTTCACACAAAATGTATAGTTAGTTGGCTGTGGCGAGCAGAACGAGGGACGTGAGAGCGGCGCGAGGCCGGTGGCGTGAGTGATAATGAACGACACCTGTGAGACGCTGTGGCAATGAAGAAAATCTGTGCCGCGAGTCACATAATTGATTGTTTACTTTCACTGTCACGTTACGCAAAATGGGAGGAGTATGTCAAACAAATTAACGTTAATCACGGAAGGAAATTGAATATAAGGAAGTGTGTCGTACCTGGGAAAGGCGTCACCCGTTTGTGCATTGAGAAGTTTAGTAAAATCGTGACGGATCGTTGGGGAGAGACGGCCGCTTGTCGATCTGTTGTTTCCTGTGGTTGAAGTCTGGTGCGTCGCGAAAGTCGGTGCATTCCCAGACAAACAATGATGGAGCTGTTTTAAAGACAAGCCAAAGCTGCTGTATCCGCCTATCCTAGTGTCGAAGAGGACACTCGACTCACTACACCTGTTTCTTGCCTGCAAATGTGGTCAGTACCGCTGCGACGCCATACACACATTACGCACACACCCACTCGCATTTCACTTTTGCACATTCAGTGTGCTTAGTTGTTTTTCATAATTTGGTGTTGCCTGTTAAAATGATTGTTTGCTGTTGGTGATTTACAACAAAATGAATGAGTTGTTTACTTTTTTTCTTTTTTCCTTTCATATGAACAATTGTGAATGAATGTGGACACGAATCTGCCAACGTGGATTAGTGACGCGTTGTGACGCGATGGGACGCGTGGATGTTGCGTTGATGTTGCGTTGAAGTGAAGACGTGGGAAGTTTTTGCACGGATTTAAAGAAACGTCAGAGATGAGATATACCGTGGAACTTTTTGTGTGTTATTAGTATTATTATGAATAAATATCCTTTGTGAAATGATTTTTCTTTTTTGATTATTACTATAATTTTTTTTGTGTGTAACAGGTGGTTATTTTTCGGCTATCCTGGGTTCATTTAAATTTTGACAGGTTTTATCCTGTCTGGCGCCCGAACTTTTCTTTAAAGTCATTTATTTGTATTAGGGCGGCCACCACCGTTACAGAGTGGCGCCCGAACAGGGACATGAACATGAACACTTGAACATTTGAATTTGAGCACTGTGGAACCTAGTGAAATTGAACTTTGGACATTTTCATTTTGAACATTTTGGAACTGTTTGTGAACTGTGAACAATTTACTTGGAGAAAAAAAAAAAACACTCTGAGACCCTGTGACTGTAAACTTTATATGTGATGGAAAATATTTTTTGGGTTGTGTAAACTGTGAACGCTAGTTAGAGTGCTATCTCTTAGGTGTCACAGAAATTGAGATAAGTGAAGGTGACTTACTTTGAATGCTTTTTGTTTCTGACTTAATGTTTTTTTTTTTTTGAAAATATTGATTGAACATTTGTGAAAAGTTGTATTTTGTTGTTTTGGAAAAATTTGGGGGAACAAACAAACTGACACACATCTCATTTACTGATACATTTATTTATTTTCACACCCAACATTCTTACACTCCAACACTCATGGCAAATACCCCTCCTTCCCAATCTACTTTTGTGGAAATGGAGCCTCCACCAGACATCTCAACTCCAGTATGGCCGCCCGTACTGCGACCTCGGATGCCTCTGGTGCCACCTTCAAGTGCTCCTGCCTTTTACCATACCCCTATTCCATTCAGCCCTGGTCATCCTGGAACCCATGTGCACACGTCTTTTCCTGCTCTGGCTGGCAGCACTCCAGTGCAAACCCTCACCTGGGCACCACAAGTGGATAACATGCAACTTTGTACTTCATCTGAAGGTGGAACTCCTTCTTCAGTGGCACAACATGATCTACCCAGCATTTTACCGACTCCTGGAAGGGAAATACAACAAGTCACTGCTCGGGTTCAAGGGAACTGGGATACCTTGTTTGATTTAATGACAAGACAAGAAAAGAGAGTGAATGAACTTACCAAGGAAGTGAAAGAAACTTCTTCTTATCACAAGAGTCAGATTGCTGATCTTGCTGCAAAAGTGGAGGATAACAAAAGTCAAGTTTTCACTCTGTTTACTACCACTAAGCAACAAGAGGAGTCTGAAGCAGACAAACTGATTAAAACAATGAAGCTAATGATCACTGGAGAACTCCAAAAGGTGGAAACTACCTTGGTGTCTGAACTACGCTTCATGGTTGATCAGCTCCAGTCAGAGGTTCAGCAGGACATCAAAGCTGTTCAAAACGTATTTCAAACAAGCCAGGATAAGATGAATTCACAACTCCAACAATGTGTTACACAGACTGATCAATGTCTCACCAGTTTTAAAGAATTGAAAATTGAAGTGGAAAAAGGATTTCAAAGTGTCAAAGAAAGTGCGGATCAACGAAAGTTAAGTGTATTGACACCATCAGATCCTAGCACCACCACTTCATCTCTGCCATCTGTTTCTGCTCCAGTGACATCATCTTCTTCAACCCCTCTTTCAACATCTGTGGTTAAGAGTGACCATATAAGATTAACTTTCCCCACTTTTGGAAGGCCTTCAGACGATGCAGACCCCCTACTGTACTTAACCAAATGTCAGGATTTCATGGCTTTACATCCCCTGACAGATGCAGACATCTTGGCTACCTTCCGTACTGTCCTATACGGAACAGCACGTGACTGGTGGGAAGTCAGACGGTCCAACATAACCACCTGGAATGAGTTTGAGGCTGCATTCTTATCTGCTTTCCTTTCTGAGGATTATGAGGACGAACTGGCAGAACCTATCCGTACTAGAATTCAGAAAGAGACAGAAACTATTAGAGACTTTGCGTTTTCTTACAGAGCTCTCTGTAAAAGATGGAAGGCCGATCTTACAGAAGGTGAGATTGTGAAGATGATACTAAAGAATATAAAGCCATACCTTGCAAGCCAATTACGTAGCCGAGTGAACACTGTGGAGGAGATGGTAAAACTAGGACATCAACTGGAGAAAGATTATGAACAACAGCTTCGTTATGACTGTGGTCGAATGGGCCCAAAGCATCTACCCACATCACCACGATCTTCCTCAAACCAACCTGCTGAGAAAATCCCAGTTCAATGTTGGAGATGTAGAGGACAGCATCCACCAGGAAAATGTCCACACTATACCTCTCCACAGTCACCTCAGACATCTGGTCCACAGTATTCCACCAGCGGCAAACATCCTTATCACCCGAAGTCAAGTGGTCACCCTTCCAACAACTCTGTTGCTGCAACTAGGATGCATAAGTCACCATCCGCAAGTAAGAAAACCTCATCCTCAACTGCAAGCTCTAATGAGCATGTAGCGGTACCTCAACAATTAGTTGTTCCCCTTTGTATTGATGCCTGGTCAGGTAAGGCCATTTTGGACACTGGTGCAAGCTTCACACTCATCCATGAGAATCTCATGAGGCAGCTTACCTCACCAGACCAGCTCCAACCATGGTCTCGTGGTCCTCTTTATCTGGCAAATGGAAAAGCAGAGACACCATTAGGATGGCTGTACACCACAATTAATTTACATGACCAAGCATTTACCTTACCTACTGCTGTACTTTCCTCCCAAGCTCTAGCCTATGCTGTAGTCTTGGGGTTGGACTTTATTTTCTTCAGTGGCCTGCAACTCAATGTCATTGATCAGAAATACTCCTTCAAGCTTGATCCTTCAAAAGAGTACCCCTTTCAACCAGGAAATCCAAGTGTGCCAAATCTAAGTCCCCAAAACGAGAGGAGTCAACTTAGAACAGCCACACAAAACCTTTCCTTGTTAACTTCTGTTCCCCCTCTATCATCGCCATTGCAAATTCAACCACTTGACAGTATTGATGAAAATGCATTGATAAAAAAAACTGTGGACGCTGCTCATTTACCCTTGGAAGGTAAGCTACAGTTACTCCAAATCCTGGAAGGCCGCCCTCAGGTATGCACACTCCGTACTGGACGTACTGAGGTTCTCCAACACCGCATCTATGCCACCAGCCAAGTACCGATCAAACAACGACCATACCGTTTGTCTCCCATCAAGCAACCTGCACTGGATGAGCAACTTGACGAAATGTTGAGACAAGGAATAGTTGAACCCTCCCACTCTGGTTGGGCATCACCAGTGGTCTTAGTACCTAAAAAAGACGGCAAACTGAGATTCTGTGTGGATTACAGAAAAGTCAATTCTGTAACTGAAAGTGACGCTTACCCTCTTCCCAATATCACAGAAATTCTGGAATCCCTCTCTGGGGCAGCCATCTTTTCTACTATTGATCTCAACAGTGGATATTGGCAGGTGACCATGGACCCCAATAGCAAAACCCAGACAGCCTTCATCACTCCTTCAGGTCTCTATCAATTTAATGTTATGCCGTTTGGGCTCAAAAATGCTCCCGCAACTTTTCAGAGGCTCATGGACACAGTCCTGGGAGAACTAAGGAGGAAAATATGCTTTGTGTACATCGATGACATCATTGTGTACTCGCCTTCAATAACACAACATTTCCATGACCTCCAGGCTGTCCTCCATAGACTAGAGACAGCTGGTCTCACCATAAACTTGAAAAAAAGTCAATTCTGTCTTAAGGAACTCACCTTCCTAGGACATGTTGTAAGTGTCAAGGGCATTTCAGCAGACCCTTGTAAGACTGAAGCCATTCATGCCTACCCTGTGCCTACAAACTTGAAGGAAGTTCAGCGGTTCCTCGGGTTAGCAGGGTGGTATCACCGCTTCGTTGAAAATTTTTCCAAGATTACTGAACCCCTCAACGCACTGAAAAAAAAGGGACATAGTTACAAATGGACAACCCAGTGTCAACAAGCGTTTGACCAACTCAAGACTTGCCTCACCTCACCACCTATTCTTGGCCATCCCGATCTTCAGCGTCCATTCATCGTGTACACCGATGCCAGTGACACCGGTCTGGGTGCCATATTAGCACAACGGAAGGATGCTGGCAGAGAGGAGGTTATCGCCTATGCAAGTCGAACCTTAACTGGTAGGCGGTGGGCCGGACCTCGAAATTACGAATTTAATACTTACCTCACAGCTGTGTAAGTCTTTTTTTGCTGAGGTCATGTAATAAAATCGTATAAGTACTACAGACATTGTTTCCAACTTTGTTGTATGCACATTTGACGCAAAATGTCCTTACAAACTCTAACCTTTTTAAACCGGCAAATAAGCAGGAGTACTAATCATAACGTTAGAAAACCTCCCGTTTCCTTGACAACCAATGTAAACAATGAACCATATGAACACAGATTCTAGAGTGGAGGCAAAGTGATCTTTGTCAGTGACCAGGAAGCTGCGTTCTTGAAATTACAATTTTGCTTTAATCATAAAAAATTTAATTTTAGTGTGTTGTAGTTCAGTAATACTGAGGTAAAAATGAGGTGTTTTATCCATTTAGCCTCAAATGTAAAAAGCCATGTAACCCCCTTTTCCCAGACAAGTTGGGCAAAGTTTGTTCAATGTACACATTTATGGGTGAACCTGCAAACTCAAAAAGCCGTATTGGCATTTAACTTAAATTCCGAAGACGTCCAAGATGTGCTGGCTAATGTTGGATTTCACAGAGAATGTTACATGCTCTTCTTATGTGTTCTTTGTTGGTGAAGAGCATGTAACATTCTTTGTGAAATCCAACATTAGCCGGCACATCTTGGACCGAAGAAAGAAAAGGCAGCTAACAACAGTGAAGGTTTGTATCAAATGTATAATGTCATTGCATCTCATGCATCATGTCAAATAGAGCAAGTAGTGCTTCATTGTCTCAGAAACACAGCATTACAGCAAAGGGGAGCAGTTATTCATTAACATTGCAGACAGCATGTATACTGTATTATAGTAGGGATGGGCATTTAAAGCAAAAATATTCAAAGATCGCTGGATATAGGCCTAGGCTATTATTCGAAAATCGCACCCGTGTGACGCTTAAATATACGTTAAAAAACTTAAACATACGTTTAATTTATATACGTTTAACCCCTTACTAGTCTGCCCCAATTTTGGCAAGTGATGCATACATGACATACCCAAAATAAAAAGGTTGCTGCTCAGAAGTCATTCTGAATAGACACATAACCAACATACACTCACCGGCCACTTTATTAGGTACACCTGTCCAACTGCTCGTTAACACTTAATTTCTAAGCAGCCAATCACATGGCGGCAACTCAGTGCATTTAGGCATGTAGACATGGTCAAGACAATCTCCTGCAGTTCAAACCGAGCATCAGTATGGGGAAGAAAGTTGATTTGAGTGACTTTGAACGTGGCATGATTGTTGGTGCCAGAAGGGCTGGTCTGAGTATTTCAGAAACTGCTAATCTACTGGGATTTTCACGCCGAACCATCTCTAGGGTTTACAGAGAATGGTCCGAAAAAGAAAAAACATCCAGTGAGCGGCAGTTCTGTGGGCGGAAATGCCTTGTTGATGCCAGAGGTCAGAGGAGAATGGCCAGACTGGTTCGAGCTGATAGAAGGGCAACAGTGACTGAAATAACCACTCGTTACAACCGAGGTATGCAGCAAAGCATTTGTGAAGCCACAACACGCACAACCTTGAGGCGGATGGGCTACAACAGCAGAAGACTCCACCGGGTACCACTCATCTCCACTACAAATAGGAAAAAGAGGCTACAATTTGCAAGAGCTCACCAAAATCGAACAGTTGAAGACTGGAAAAATGTTGCCTGGTCTGATGAGTCTCGATTTCTGTTGAGACATTCAGATGTTAGAGTCAGAATTTGGCGTAAACAGAATGAGAACATGGAACCATCATGCCTTGTTACCACTGTGCAGGCTGGTGGTGGTGGTGTAATGGTGTGGGGGATGTTTTCTTGGCACACTTTAGGCCCCTTAGTGCTAATTGGGCATCGTTTAAATGCCACGGCCTACCTGAGCATTGTTTCTGACCATGTCCATCCCTTTATGGCCACCATGTACCCATCCTCTGATGGCTACTTCCACCATGTCACAAAGCTCTAATCATTTCAAATTGGTTTCTTGAACATGACAATGAGTTCACTGTACTAAAATGGCCTCCACAGTCACCAGATCTCAACCCAATAGAGCATCTTTGGGATGTGGTGGAACGGGAGATTCGCATCATGGATGTGCAGCCGACAAATCTGCGGCAACTGTGTGATGCCATCATGTCAATATGGACCAAACTCCCTGAGGAATGCTTCCAGCACCTTGTTGAATCTATGCCACGAAGAATTGAGGCAGTTCTGAAGGCAAAAGGGGGTCCAACCCGTTACTAGCATGGGGTACCTAATAAAGTGGCCGGTGAGTGTATATTTAGAAAGCCAACCCTTGAGAGTTTACATTTCAAGACTCAAAATTAACCAGACTGTTATTAATATTGAGATATATAAGCTCAAACATAGAAACAAAAACAACAAATATTAAGAATATATTTATTAAATGTATAAAAATATTATGTGAATTTAGGATTGCAACTTATAACCACAACTAAAACATGGGGATTTTTTAAAGACAATCATCCCGCACATCCTATTCAATATTCTATAATAAAATCATCGAATATTCGAAAATCGTGACTCATCCCTAATTAATAAAGTATTTCAGTGCAAGTCGATAACATGACAAGTAGCAAAAGGCAGTGCAATATGTGTGTAAGTGGGGTCAAATGTTGATAGCAAATTTAAAAATAAAACAAATAAACCAATGTAGCAGCATCATACTATAAACTACCAGTGTATTTGTGCAAGAGTCAATCAGCTGCCCTTAGGTTATTGGAGGGTGGAGGTGGAAGGAAGAGGCTCTCTATGATTCCCCTATAGAAAGATAAGAGGATGCATTTTTGGGAGATGAGCCTTCCTCAACTGTGGGAGGAAGTGCAGAGCATTTTGGACTTTCTTGGCCAGGTTCTGTTGGTGGTGTCGATAGATCAAGATGGGTCATCTGTGATGTGGATACTAGCAACTCCATGATCTTGACCTGCTCCATCATGGTGCTGTTGATGTGATGGTTGTCAACGTCACCTCTGTAGTCATTTGGGTGTGGAGAGATATGATGTTGTCCTGTCCGTGTCTGTGTGTTAGATAAACAACTGAATTATTCAGATAAATAAACAAAACATTTTAAATCACATTTTTCATCTTGACATTTGTATTAAGATGCTAACCATCTTAAACGAGCTTGACAAGACTACTGCAGTTCTGACCACAAATGATTTTGTTAAATAGCTCAAAAACAGCCATCTTTAACTAAAATATTTTTAAATCCTTTCTTTGTTTTGCTTTGCACTCTTTTTAGCTGATAATTAGTCTAGCTTACTTGTAGCCCAGGTAGCTTGCTGTAAACCAACCTGGACATACCTGTCAAATTATTTCCTGCTGTCTTCCCGTTTAAATATTTTCCAGTAATTAACCCCTTTTGAATACTCTTTGCTTAGTTCATTGTGTATGTACCGAATGATTATTTTGGATTAGCCTAAGCAACATACCCTTGGACCTAGCTTTACTGCTCCACTACCAACATTCTTTCGTGGCTACTGTTCTCATCAACAACAACGCATATTCACGACGAAGTATAGCTTGCAGTCTTAAATACAACTTATATGCAAAGCATTAAGATATAGGGGTGTATAATCATTGTAAAACAAATCTTACCTTGACGTTGTCTTGCCGAGACACACCGGTCTCTCCAGTTTGGATTGTAGATTTGACTTCAGACTGACGCGAGTCACGCGACGCCGGTTCAACGAATAACGTGATTGGCCAAATCAATTCAACAAGGTAACAACACAAGCGTTGATTGGATCTCAGTCCGGCCAACGTTTGTAATCAGCTAGCGAAATTAAATCAATTTTTATACTTTAATGTGCAACAATTGGCGTTGGAAACAATCGGTAATCTTTTTGTTAATTATTCATACAGACAAATTAAAAAAATGAGCCACACAGCTGCTGGGTAACTATCAAATCAAAAACTAAACGAGATAGACGGACTTGGCCCACTGCCTATGGGGCTGAACTCAATTACACTGCAACAGAGAAAGAAT